AGGGAAAGCATTTTTTCCCAGTGATTCAACCATACGGGGTTTGTAAAATCTTCTCTTCCAAAGATCACACATGTCCTGAGAGAGTTTACTTGTGTAATGTGATACAGAGTTAGCATTTGAAAATTTAAACAATTCAGTAGAGAAATAAAATATTTAAGATGGTAACATTTACTGTCAAAAGAAGTTTGCAGATTTTTTTTTTAGCCATATCTAATTCTTTAGGGCAAAACATAACATCATTTAATCTTAAAGCAGCAATTTTATACAGATGATGATCTTTATCTCCTGATTATCAAAGGGTCTTTATATTTGTAAACAGCATTACACATGTGAAATAATTACAGTAAATGAAAAAGTTATTACCATAAATCACAATGGTTATCTGCATTTAAGGGTGTATGTGTTCTAACAATTTAGTATATCAATATTCCAAGGGGAAATTCATAATGATTTATTTCTCTGACTTATTAAAAGCTTACTTATAGCTTGGAGGTCTCTGAATACCCTTAAAATTAGGAAATTATAGCCATAAAATTAAGAAATAATAGCAAAATCTCCATATAAGAAGCAATCTAACAAGATATTCCCTGTTAGGAAACAGTTAAGTTAAAAGTACAGTACTTAAAATGAAAACTTTTAACTAAGCTTTGTCAATAATCTATGCTTTCATGAAACTCATTTTTTACTTTCACTGTTATATAACTATACCCCATTGATATAATCATTTTTCCCTTCCTTTTAAATTCATGCTAAAATAATGTGTACGTGGAGATATTACTATCTATACAATTCCCTTTTTGAAGTTTTCTGATTTTAAATACAGCAATTTAATGACTTTAGCATAAAATTATTCAGTATTTCACAAAGTTCCATAATTACTGTTCAACAGCTATTGGAGACTAAATGGTTAAGTGGAATCTCAAGTTTAGGACATTGTTTTCAGAATATATTGTAATGTTATAATTACTATTATACTTCAGCTTTAAAAAAATTAAGAAGATCAATATTTTGAGATATGTTTTAACATGAAAATCTATTTGATACAAATTATGGCCCATTAAAATGATCTCTCCTGCTATTTTTCAGTGTCACCATATATTTAAGGAAATAATTGTGAAAATTATATAATTGAGTGAAAATAAAAGTTTAAATAGAAAAAATGAAAAGAAAGTATGTTGTATTTGTGCTATGGGCCATAAAATATGAGTAAAGGAAGAGATATAATTTGTTTTTAGGTGGGAAAGCTCAATTTCAGAAGCATCACTTCTTCCTAATATAATCTATAGATTCAATGAAATCTGAAAACCATTTTCTTGGGAACAGAGGAAAGGAAATATTTCAAGAGTTTGAATGAAGGAATGGATGTGCAAGGATAGTCAACAAATTTTGGAAAATTAAATTTTATTGAATTAAAAACTTTCAATTATAGTAATTATTTTTAACTGAAAGGACAACTGCACAAAATAATAGAGAAAAACTGTAAACAAATTATTAATACAGGCTGGTTAAATGAATACTGTCTCATCCATACAGTGAAACTCTTCCATGTCATGGTGATGAGTTTCTGGATTTTTTGCAAGGTAAGGTGTTTATTACATATTGTAAAGGGGAAAAGGCAAGTTACAAAATAGTTTTTAAAATATGATGCAATTACCCCGGAGAGCATGGCCCCTGGATTCTCTATCAGCCCAGAACTAAAACAATTTCTGAGGCCAACTCTTCAGACAGGGATTGGACTGGACTGTGAGACATAAAGTCATACTCGTGAGGAGTGTGCCTCTTAGCTCAAGTAGATACAAGAGACTAAATGGGCAGCTTCTGTCTGGATGTGAGATGGGAAGGCAGAGAGGGTTATGAGCTGGTTGAATGGACATGGGGAATCGGGGTGAAAAGTAGGAGTGTGCTGTCACAGTAAGGGGAAGGCAATTACGGTCACATAACAATGTATGTACAAATTTTTGTACAGAAAAAATTTTTTAAAAAAAAGAAGCAATTATTTTTAACATATAAAGGAAAAAAATCTATTTATGATATGCATCAATGCTGTTTTCTTTGGGTAGCAGGGCAAGGTGATTTTCAGTGTTCGTATACTTTGGCATTGTGTGACTTTTCTATAATAAAGATATATTATTTTTGATAATTATAAGAAATTATTTTAACATTTGAATTTTAGCATGTGGGGATTTATGGGTAACAATAATTAAGTAAAACTGAAGGGAAGTGGAATCCACTGGTTTCTAGGAAAGGAAACCAATAGAACCAAATTTTGAGGAAGGTTTCTACAATGTTAGGGACTTTGCTGTTTATCCATCTGGTGTGAGTATACAGGAATGCTTAGGAATATTGGGTGCTATAGGGTGAGTCATGTGTGCCTTAACTTCCTAGCTTCCAGTCTTCTTATCATTTGATTGTTGACTTAAAGGTGAAGACATGGTAGCGAGAGTCTCAAGTAGTATCACTCTACCTTACTACAGTCTTTATACTAAATATGAAAGCTACTTTTAATGCTGTAGTTGCATAATTTAAATGAATAATAAACCAAGAAGCACATCTCTTGACATAGCCTTACTAAAATCTGCCCCAGCAATTTCATTTAGCAGTTTTATTTAAAAGAAGGGAAAAGTATGATAATACGATTAGCTACTATAATGTATATAATTTGAATCTTTTTAACAAATACCTTTATTTGTCTAGCTCTAACACTATGTTTAAAAAATATTTTATATGAATATAAGCTAACGTGGAAATTTTATTGAATAGAAATATTCTGCATAAAATAATTTAATAAAAATAATGATAACATATTTACAGAATAAATACTAGGCATAGTTCTAAACGTGCTTTATGTGTATTAAGTCAACTCTTCAGCAAAACTTACTTATGAGGTAGATGCTATTATTATCCCATGGAAAAACCAAGGCTCAGATAGCTAAGTCCCTTGTCCAAGGTCACACAGCTAAACAGTGACAGAGCGGGGTACTAATCCCACAGTCTGACTTCAGAATACTTTTCTTTTTTGCAGATTTCTGGTTTTTTTTTAATTTAAATAAGCATTTAGTTTTAGAACAGTTTTATAAATCTATAAATAGAAAAATTACAAAAATAGTATAGATAGTTCCATATACCCCTCAGCCAGTTCTGCCTACTGTTAACATCTTATGTTACTATGTACATCTCCCACAACTAAGGAACCAACATTGGTACATTACTATTACTAAACTCCACACTTGTTCAGGTTTCACTAGTTTTTGCCTAACATACTTTTTCTAACCCAGGACTCCATGCAGAATACAACACTACACTTAGCTGCCGTGTCTTCTTAGCCTCCTCTGGACTGTGACAGTTTCACAGACTTTTCTTATATTTGATGACCTTGACAGTTTTGAGGGGTCCTGGTCAGGTGTTTTGTAGAATTTCCCTCAACTTGGGTTTCTGGGATGTCCATCTCATTATTATACTGGGTTATGATTTTGGGAGGGAGACCACAGAAGTGACTTGCCATGCTTATCACATTACATCAGGTGTAAATGCTATCAGCAGAACTTACCATTGATGATGTTAAACCTCAATAACCTGGTCAAAGTACTGTTTGTCAGGTTTCTCCACTGCAAATTTACTATCCTTCCCTCCACCTCCACTCTTTTTCCATGCTCTACTTTTTGAAAGAAAGTTACCAAGTGCAGCCCACACTCAAATGGGGTGGGCAGGGGGCAAGGGAGTTATGGGAGGGAGTGAAGCTCTACCTACTTAAAGTGGGGATAGCGACATAAATTATATGGAATTCTTTTGTCAGAGCCCTCATTATAACCCATTACTCTATACTGCCTCTCACATTCCACCCTTTCCTATTATTTATGTACGATAGTTTAAAAACATAATTCTTATCTAATTTTTTGCTTTTTCAAAGGTTTGAAACCGTTGGAGCTAAATGTGACAACAAATAAATTTGTCTTAAATTATTTTTCCATTGGCCACTGTAGAATTTGTCATTGGGTGACTAATTATAAACCAATTCTTCTCAAAGGCACTATTTAAAGAATTTACCAGAAATATTCGTTCAAGCTGATCCTGAATGTCCTTCATTCCTGGAAAAGCAGCAACCCCTTGGATCATTTCCACAAAGATGCAGCCAACTCCCCTACAGAGAGAAGAAAGGATGGTTACAAAAACTTAAAGACATTCTGCTTAGAATATGAAATCTGGAATTAGAACACTCACTCCTAAAGAGGACAAGCCATGAATAAGTAATATTCTTAATGAGACACCAAGCACTATCCCACATTACCTAGACAGATAAATCTACCTTCAACTTTCCTTTCTACTCCCTCCTCCCACTCTGTCTATTGCCCTCAAAGGACTCTGAATACATACAGGTAATACTGGGCTCTGACGATAGTGGAACCACATGGAATAGTAAACGTTGGTGGCTCTACACCCTGTAGTATACAGCTGAAACTTCAGAGCCTGATACATAAAGCATCCAAGTCTTGTACTAACATACGTTTACAATTGTTTTTCACAAAGTCATAACGTATCGTACTCTCTACCTGTCTAGTTGTTCTCAATCCTCTCTTTGCATCAAAATCACCTTGGCAGCTTTTAAAAGCTCCAAATGCTCCGACCACAACTCCCAGAGATGTTTTTTCAGTCAGTCTAGGTTGGAATCCAGGCCTTGACACTGGGCTGCTCAGGTGATTCTAATGAGCAGTTAAATTGAGGCTCACTGAGCCACGTGCCAAGCAGAAACCTATACAATTCGGCTCAATTACTCCACTACCTAGAATACCCTCCTGCTTCACTTATATGCTCTTACTATCTAAATCCAACCCAACCTCTATGATCCAGTTTAAATGTCATCTGCTCCGCAAAATCTTCCATGAACATTCCGCTAGGATAACTCGTTTATGTGAACTTATTTATTAAACCCTTATTCAATATATTAGCACTGATGGCGCTGTGGTTAAAGCACTGGGCTGCTAACCGAAAGCCACTACGCAGGAGAAAGACGCGGCAGTCTGCTACTGTAAAGATTTACAGCCTTGCAGACCCTATGGGGCAGTCCTACTCTGTCCTATAGGGTTGCTATGAGTCGGGATCGACTTGATGGCAACAAGTATTCAATATATTAGCCACCTACCATGCTCAATGTCTTCTCCTAGCTAGCGTTTCATGCTCACAGTTTCTAGCAAGCCTCAGCAGTGTACCTTGCCTCTCAGACTGAAGCAGCCTGGAGCTAACCCAACAGGAATAACCAATTCAGCCAATCAGATTCCTCTCCTAGGACTTTGGAAAAGTCATTTGGTAGCAGGATGGAAAGAAACCGGCATGTGTGAATGAGATAAGACACATTAATGGCAGAGAATTAGCATGAATGGCATATACTCCAGCAGCTGAGGTCCTTGCCTTCCTGAGACCTGGATGTTCAGAAAATTCAGTGTTTTGGTTAGATACCACTAACCTTCTGACAATGCTCCAGGATTAAAAATAAATAAAATTGCTTTACCTTGAGTGGGTTTATGTTTCCTACAATTATGTTAATAAAATCAGCAACATGTGTGACACTTTCTCGATTGCTAGACTCATTTAATTTAGGGTGGGAAAATCCTGTGTCTAACCAGTATTAGATCTCCAAGATTTTAAGGATAAACCCTCCAGTTCTCTAGAGTTGTCCCAGTTGTTATCACACCTGTATATAAACAATACTTTGAATTAAGGAAGTAATACTTTTACAGAAATCCCTTCCTTATTATACTATATAATTTCTATCCAAACTAAACACCAGGTTCCGGCAAAATGGCACTCTAGGCAGAAGCACCATGCCGTCCCTCCACAGCAAAGATCCGAAAAACTAAGCCGAACAGAGAATACAACAATCCTGAAACCCTAAAACATCAAATGAAGAGATAAAGAACTCAGCCAAGCACCAAATGGAGTGAGAAAACTGACAGAGAACGGAGAGCGAGGAGAGATTCATCCAGAGGTCCCCTACCAGCTAATGCAGCGCGGATCCGCCATCTTGGACTCCTATCGGAGACCAGCAAACGGGGGTACGAGAAAGCAGCCTCACGGAGCATCCAGAGGGAGACAAAACAACCAGTAATTAGTGGTGTGCGCTTTCCCACACCCCACACCTCTTCGCCCAGGCTCGGCCTCCTCTGCTTCCCGTGGCCACTGTCTCTTGACCGGGAAGCACGAGCTGCTTCGATTCCACACACCCAAGCAGGCGGCTCTCTGGGTGCCATTTGTTGGCTGCTAGTGTTGCTTTTTTTCCTGCTTCTTTCGATTTCTCACTTGCCTCTCGCCACCTCCCCCTCCTTTCACTCGAGTGCCTGGCTCCGTGCGCCACCTCTGCTTCTTCCTGAGGAGCTGCAGAGCGCTGGCAATTTGTGATATACACTTTCCCACTCTCCACCCTTCTTCACCCACACTCGGCCTCCTCTGCTTCCCGCGGACACAGTCTCCTATCCAGAAACACCAGCCTGCACTAGCTGGCTGTGTGAGCGCCATTTGTTGGCTGCTGGTGTTGCTTTTTTTTTTTTTTCCTGCTTCTTTTGATTTCTTGCTTCCTCTTGCCGCCTCCCCCTACTTTTGCTCGAGTACCTGGCTCTGTGCGCCATCTTTGCTTCTTCCTGAGGGGCTGCGCAGCTCCATTTGAGTGTGGAGCTGCTTCCTGGTATGGGCTACTGCGCTGGTGGGATCTCAAGGCTTTTGTTCATTTGTTCCTCTGCTTCCCTCGGCCACAGTCTCTTGACCGGGAAGCACCAGCTGCTTCGATTCCATACACCCAAGTGGGCAGCTCTCTGGGTGCCATTTGTTGGCTGCTGGTGTTGCTTTTTTTTTTTTCTGCTTCTTTTGATTTCTCGCTTGCCTCTCACCACCTCCCCCTCGTTTCACTCAAATGCCTGGCTCCGTGCGCCAACTTTGCTTCTTCCTGAGGGGCTCCACAGCGCCGGCAATTTGTGATATACGCTTTCCCACTCTCTACCCTTCTTCACCTACACTCGGCCTCCTCTGCTTCGCGCGGACACAATCTCCTGTCCAGAAACACCAGCCCACACTAGCTGGCTCTCGAGTGCCATTTGTTGGCTGCTGGTGTTGCTCTTTCTTTTTTTTTCTTTTCTGC